ATTTTAAAATGTAATAAAATAGATATAAATAAATGCAGCCTTGGTACACATAAAAAACATTATTATCACTTCTTACAAAAACATTAAAAAATCTTACTGATGCCAAACTTTTGAACAATAGTGTAAATACTTAGGATGGCTATTATTGCTGAGCTGTCACAAACCTATGATGGCCTTAATGTAAATATTTAATTGTCAAATACACTTGCATGCTTGGAAAGCTGTTATAGGGTAAATTTTACAAAATTTATCAAGAACTCAAGAAAATGAAATGGTCATATTTCAAACTAAAATCTAAATAAAAATTTAAAAAATTAATTTCAATAAAAAAAAAAGTTAACCATAAAGAGAATAATCATGGAGAAAGATTAAACAAACAAACTAGAACTAAAATAAAAAAACAAACAAACAAAATAAGCTAATAATAAAAACAAATAAATAAATAAACTAACTAACTAACTAATGATAAAAACAAATACATAAATACATTTAGGAGTCAAATGTGACCAGGATATGTCTTTGTGAGTTTCCCCCTAAACCTGTCTGCATGTAAATATAATTTAACATGCCATGTTGACAGTCTATTACTCACCTCCAAGAAACTGTATGCCCCCGGCTGCACGTCCAATGGTTCTGGAGATGAGTTCTGATATGCAGCAGCCCATGAGCGCTGTAAGTGCCACCAGCAGCAGCAGGCCGCATCCAACCCCCGTCACGACTGTACAGATCCGCCACTCCACGCTCGGGATACCCTGAAAGCTCGCATAGCGTCCGCACTGCTCCAGCATGACCGTAGCCTGCCTCTCTTCGTCCCGAATGGGGTACGAGCACCGCCGGAAAGTACCGAAGGACACTGGTTTATTCATCTGTGAGCCCAGCAGCCAGTAGGGCATGAAGAAGCCCACGCAGGAAGCTGCTGCGCTCAACAGGGACACCAGAGCCCAGATCATCCCTGTACATGTGAGGCTGGATGCCATTCCGGAGAAATGTCTTTAAATATTGGCCACAATTCCTGAAGAGAGCTTGGAAAAGAGTAATTCCAGAAATAATTCCTTTTGCCTTGTTGGAAAGAGGACTTCTATCTCCATACAGTTTTCACCATGGTTCTGTGTGCAGTCACCTGAGAAAGAAGCAATAAAACACACTATCCCATCAATCTTTACAGAAAAGAGTCACAATTCCTGTTATCTGCAACAGCATTCATATACACTATACCGGTCAAAAGTCTGGGGTCAGTAAGATTTTAATAAATTACTTTCTTTTAAAGAAATTAACACTTTTATCCAGCAAGAATGCATTAAATTGATCAAAAGTGACAGTAACCTTTATAATTTTACAAAAGATTTATATTTCAAATAAATGCAACTTTCTATTCATCAAAGAATCCTGAAAATGCATCACAGTTTCCACAAAACCCTTTAAACAGCACAACTGTTTTCAACATTGACAATAATAACAAACGTGTCTTGAGCAAATCAGCATATTAGAATGATTTCTGAATGAACATCAGGTGACACTAAAAACTGGAGTAATGGTTGCTGAAAATTAAGCTTAACCATCACAGGAATAAACAATTTAAAATATATTAAAATAGTACTGGTTTTACTGTATTTTTGAGTAGATACATGCAGTTTTGGTGAACATGAAAAACCTATTATTAATTACTATTATTATTAATAATTATTATTTGTTATAACAGTTTTAATAAAACAGCCCCAAACTTCTGAACGATAGTGTACTTTTAAAATTCAGGTTATGTGACCAAATGTATTTTCTGGCCACTTAATTTTATAATTTTACTGCACATTTTCACTCTTGGTAAGTAATTAGTTGTACATTTCAATATAATATGAAATATATCAAAAGTTTCATGTTAAGCTTCTAAAGTTTAATTTAATGTTTGTTGATGTTGTTAATTAAAGTTGCCACCCAACTTATTTAAAACAGTGCAAGAAGAGTTAAGAGCAGTCCATATAAGGCTGAGAGGGGAGTCTAACATTAAATATTTACACAAAAGATTGCAGATGGATACTAGCAAAGAAAAAAAGAAAAGAAAAGAAAATGTCTCATGTGGTAACATCTACATTCAATGATTTTATTAAAGGATTTGATAATGAAACGAATCTGAATACACCAAGTTGAATAGAACTCATTTTAAGGGTCGGAATTCCTTATGGTAACAACTGCACATTTTTACTTTTCACCGTATCAGTGAAATTAAACTTCTTTTTAATAAGACATAATATGACATAGTTATAATATCTTATTAATAAGACATAATATGCATGACATATCATCTGTGTTAAGGATTATATAATGTAATCATATTAATAATATGAATGTAAATTACTATAACGTAGCCTAATTCCCAAGAAGAAAGTTTAAAAGGCTGAGTGGTCATCTATTATTAGTGCCACTTCATGAAAGTCCTGATATAAACAACTGCCATGCAAAACACGCCATCATGCGCAATCCATTAATCATCATTTAAAAAAAAAAAAACACATCGTATGTGATAACTTACACAGGTATATTCTGACTGGCGTGTTAATTCAAACTCCGGTCCAGCTTCGTGGGACCGTGGAGAAGAAATAAACTTTGTCGGCTGAACGGGGCGCAACTCACGTAACGCGCGCCGAAAACATGAATTAAATTCCTTTAAATGGGGTCTGCTGAGACCTGCTTATGTCTTTCTGTTTATGTCACTCCTGCAGGACAGCGTTAAAATAATCCCAGCGTATTTCAGAAGACACACTACATGCTGTATCGAGCTGCCTCCGTGTCCACGCGCTGAGCTCAGTGTGGCAGACGTCAGACTACAAGAGTCTTGAGCGCGCTCGCTTAGCTCACTCACTCGAGCTCCGCCCACCGTTCTGCTGCTTTTTAATCACAGCGGGGCTAGCTATCACACTTTTTACTCCAGTGAATATTTCACATAGCAGATTTATTTTAAAATCAGTTTCTGTACAGACACGTAAAGTCTTTACTACAAAAAATACAAAAAAAACAACAACTATTGAACATATACATGGCCAGGTGAAAAAGATGAACGTTAATTTATCATACACAGCTGGGAATGTTGTGTTACAATGGGAGCCTGCTTTTCAGTGACACTAATTTGAGACAGCCTACATGGGTTAAAAATAAATAAATAAAAAGAAAAAACAAAGAAAGGAAAAGAAAAGAAAAGTCTATTTAAAGCAAGGTTTCAGGGACCCCCAGGGGCCGCAAGGGAGTACTAGGGGGTCAATAGAAAAGTTTCGTGAAGAAAAAGTCAAAAAGTAAAATTTAATTTAAAAATTATGTTATAACTAACTAACTTTAATAAGATTAACTTAATTTAATTTAATTTTAATAAAATAAAAAAAATGTAAATAAGTATTTTTTTTAAATAATAAACAATTCAACTAACATAATGTACTATAGTGAGTAAAAAACATAATTAAAAATAATAAGATAATGGAACGTGTTAAACTAAACGATAATGTAAAGATAATATAAAGTAATTAAAAGTAAGAAACTAAATTATTTTCCAAATAATATTTTACACGTATTTATAATATTTTCAAAGTAAATGTAGTGAAATACAAATAAGAATATTAGCTGCCTTGTAAATTTTAGGAGGGGGTCCATTGCATGAGGATGGTCATATTTGGGGGGCTGTGGCTAAAAGATTAAGAAGAAGAAGAAGAAAAAAAACCCTGATCTACAGTAAACAATGGTGACTTCTGTTTGTTCTCCTTGGACTTTCCCAGACTTGACTAATGAGTGCAAAATAAGCCATTGACTAAAAAGTTACTAAGGGAGAGTTGTGATGGGATAGGATGGAAGACATGGAGCATGTGTGTAAAGCTCAAGAGACGTTGGTGCAAAGTGGTGCATGCTGGAGAAGTGACCACAGCTGTGAATAATTCACAAAGCCTTCACATCCAGAAACACCACAGAGAGCGTAACCCTGTGTCTCACCTCCTTTCTCAATTTAATACCTCTGAGGAGAAATGGGCTAAAATTCAATTGTTTTTGCCCTCTCGGGTGCAACATCTGTAGTTGTTGTGATTATTCATTGTCAAGATAACTCCCCTTTTCCCTCTGGCAAGGTGAAGTTAATGTCAAGGCACTGGTTTGAAGCGATTTGTTGCATTTTAACAGCAGTTATAGGTGCCATTGGTTGGGGAATTAAATTGACAACAAGTTGTGTCACGTCAAAAGATCACTGTTTTTATTGTGTTTGTGAACTTAAGAGTTCAACTTTAAATCCCTTGAAAAAGATCCCAAACCACTTTCATTGGTCTGCCAGATTGCTTATATATATATATA